GGGAGCTTCCTTCCAGGTGCTGGGACTGGCTGAGCTTCTCTGCCCTAGGAGCCTGGGATGGAGGCAGGGAGCTTCCTTCCAGGTGCTGGGACTGGCTCACCTTCTCTGCCCTAGGAGCCTGGGATGGCAGCGGGGGAGCTTCCTTCCAGGTGCTGGGACTGGCTCACCTTCTCTGCCCTAGGAGCCTAGGATGGCAGCAGGGGAGGAGATCTCTCTGATTTTTGATGCAGTTTTATATTTCTTTCCTAGAACAGCCTAAGGTGAGTTCTAGAGGATCTGGTATGATGTGTTTCCATTTTCCTTTGATTCTTGAAATTTAAAAATTTTCCTAGTGATGTCTTCAGTGACCCACTGATTGTTCAAAAGTGAATTGTTCATTCTCCATGTTTTTGTATAGTTTCTCTTACTGTTGGTTTCTAGTTTCATTCCATTATGATCTAACAAGATGCAAGAAATTATTTTAATTTTTTGTATTTGCTAAGGCTTGTTTTATTTCTTAAAATATTATCAATTTTGGAGAATGTTCCACGAGCTGCCAAAGAGTATATATTTTGTAGTTGTTGGACCGAATATTCTGCAGACATCTGTTAAGTCCATTTTATCTTCAGTGTAGTTTAACTCTGATGTTTCTTTATTGATTTTTTTGTCTGGATTATGTATCTACTGGTGAAAGTGTAGTACTGAAGTCACCCATTATTATTTTATTGGGACCTATGTGTGTCTTTATGTTGAACTGTGTTTGTTTGATGAAATTGTATGCACCAAGATTCAATGTGTATATATTTACAATTGTTATATGTTTCTTGGTGGATTGGTCCTTTTACCCATATGTAGTGGCCTTCTTTGTCTCTTCTAATTTTTTCTTGAAATCTGCTTTGTTGGATGTGAATATACTCTTGCTTGCTTTTGTATTTTATTTGCACAGAGTGTTATTTGTATCCTTTTAGTTTCAGTCTGCTAGTGAGATGTGTTTCTTGCAGATAGCAAAGAGTTGGGTCTTGTTTTATGATCTCCCAGTCTTTATCTTTTAATTGGAGACTTAGGACCATTTATATTCAGAGTTATTATGTAAAGATATATATTAATTCCTGTCATTTTATTGTTTTTATAATGTTTGATTCTTTCATAATTCTCCATAGCATATTTACTCTTCTTCATCTCTGTGTATGATTCTTATAAATATTTTCTGCAGTGCTGACTCAGTGATCATGAATTTCTTCAGTTTATGTAAAAAGGTCTTTATTTCTTCTTTGATTTTGTAGAATAATTTTGCTGGATATAGTAGTCTAGATTGGCTGTAATTTTCTTTCAGGGATTGAAATACATCATTCCATGTCCTCCTGACATTTAGAGTTTCTGCAGAGAAGTCTGCAGTTATTCTCATGGTTTGCCTTTATAAGTGACATGTTGATTCTCTCTTGACATTTTAAGTATAATGTGACATAGGAGGTCCTTTTATGGTCATGCCTGTTTAGGATTTTCAGTGCCTTATGTACCTGGATGTCCATATCTTTCCCATGATTTGGGAAGTTTTTGGTTATTAGTTTATTAAATTGAACTGAGGTTCATTAAGCTGAACCTTGTGTCATCTTTTACACAAAAATTTGTTCTTGGATGTGTTGTTCCTATTTTTCCATTACTCATATCTGAGTATGTTAATTCATCAACCCCATCTACTGACCCTAAAATTCTGTCTTCTTCTTGATCTTATCAATGAAGCTTTCTACTGAGTTTTTGATATGACTTATGTACTTTTCATTTCCATGGTTTTTATTTCATTTTTTCTTCAGAATCTGTACCTCTTTTGTTTTTGAATCTCTGCCTCTTTACTAAATTGGCTTTTTGTATCTTGCGTTTTCTTCCTTAATTCATTCACTTGCTTATTTATATTCTTTTTGAAGTCATTGATTATTTTAAAAGTCAATGTTTTGAATTATTTGGTATTTCATTAACTTTTAATCAGTTACTGATGAATTATGGATCTTAGGAGGAGTCATGTTACCTTACCTTTTGCATACTGTGTTCCTATCTTGAGATTTGTTCATCTGTTTGGTTGGATATATCTTCCACTTTATGTGAAGTTCTTCTTAGTGTGTAACCTCCTTCTGAGGGCTTAATCCTTTTATCAGAGAGGGAAAAAGAAACTTAAGTAATGATAACAATACAAAGACAAACCAGACATGAATAAACAGTAAAGACCAATTGAAATCACTGACTATGCCACAATTAATAGTAGAAAATAACAAAAATAATAATGTAAAGTAAACTAAAAGCCAAAAAATTAATAAAAGTTAAAAATAATAAAAAATTGAGGGATTGCAAAAGGAAAAATAGAAAAAGTACAATTTAATAAAAAGAAGATTGGACAGCAAATGAAACAACCAACAGAGTAAAGAGACAACATGAAGAATGGGAAAATTTCTTTCCAGCTATTCCTTGGACAAAGGACTAATATTTAGAATATATAAATAACTCAAAAAATTGGATCTCCAAAATAAAAGACCAATAAAAACCTGGGCAACTACAGCAAATACACACTTCTCAGAACAAATGGCCTAATAAATACATTTAAAAATGTATAACATCTTTGGCCACTAGATAAATGCAAATTTAAAAACATTGAGAGTTCATCTTACTCAAGAAAGGATAACTAACATCAAGAAATCAATAACAAATTCTGGCAAGGCTAAGCAGAAAAAGAAACCCTTCTACATTAGTGGTGGGAATGTAAACTATGGAAATAAATATAGAGATTCCTACAAAAAGTAAAAATAAAAATTCCATTTTCCCCAGCTGTTCTCCTAAATTTCTTCCTGAAAGAATTAAAGACATCATGTAACAGTGATACATGCATACCCATATTCATACTAGCACAATTCATAATAGCTAAATCTTAGAAGTAACCTATATGTCCATCAACAGATGAATAAAGAAAATGTCATATTTATACACAATGGAATACTACTCTAGCATAAATAAAGATAAACTTGAGCCATCTGGAGGAAAATGGATACACTTGAAACCATAATGTTAAGTGAAATAAATCAGACACACAAGCTAAATATTGCATGGTTTCTCTTATATGAGAAATCTAAAACATAAATAAAGAGCAAAATAATAGATAAGAAATATGGAGGTAGATCTTTTGCAAAAAGGAGGAGGACTAAGAGATGGAGAGTGGATGGGGAGAGGAAGGAAATGGAATGAAAAAAAGAATTAAGATGTGTCACATGCATGTACCAATCCCCTAAAAGGAATGTAATCATTATGTATGGCAAACATGTACTAATAAAAACTGAAAAAAATAGGTACAGGAATAGAAAAAAAATGAAGAAAAAAGACTAATATAGAATGAGAAAGAAGAAAAAGAGGCAAAATAAAAAAAATCCAGTTAAGGAATAAGAAAAGTAAATATGTAACTGAACAAACAATAAACAAGGGAAAGGGAAGGAAAATAAGAAAAAGATAAGAAAAAAGGAAAGAAGATAAAAAAACCACTCAAAGACAAAGAAAAATAAAAGAATGAGTCAAAAAATTCCTCTGTCTTGAGATATTTGGATGGGTAAATTTTGTTTCTAGCACCTGTAATATTGTAAAGCACCAAGTACAGGGAAAGATAATGAGTAACAACTGCATCCTGTTGTGCTTCTACACCTACTTACCAGGCTGTTGCTATGTGAATGCTGACCGGCCCCACTTGTCCTGTTGGTGGGTCTAGTCAGTGGTATGTTGTTTGCCTCAGGGTTGTATTCACAACAGAGGCTTTTAGTGGTTGTATCTGAGTGTACCCTGACTCATTGTTATTCCCTAACTAGATTTGTGCCATGTGGGTTGTTGAGGTGCCCTAAGAGAGGGCCAGGGAAAGGAGCCTGTGACTTACTACTACCCTCACAAGGAACTCAGCCTCTCCAAATGGAGTTTGTGGGGATGAGAAACACTGGAAGCTCACTCTCTCCAGTGAGCCGGTCCCTTTGCTTAAGAACCAGGAGGAAAAGGAATCTCATCTTTGTTGCAGCTTCCCAAAGAGTATGGGAGGGAGTTATGGCTCAAGTGCATAGAATCTAAAAGTTTTTACTGAGTTTTAGATGTTCTTGAATGAACGTTTTTTCATTTACTATGTGCCCTTAGGACCATTTTCAGAGATTTTAAATAGTGGCTTATTCTGAATAGTTGTCAGCACTTGTGCTTGTTTCATTGAAGAGTGGGTCTATAGAACACTTCCCATGGCCATCCTAGAACTGGAACTCTCCAGGCCTCATCTTTCTGACTTTGTTTTAAAGATGAGAAATCTGAGGTACAGAGAGGTTAAGTGACTTGTCTAAGGTTACACAATACATGGAAAAGTTGGGATATCAAGCAGTGTGGTCTGATTCCTGAGTTAGGACTGGGTTAAAAAGAAGCAAGGTTTTGTAGGGGATGGAACAACCACATCTTTAAGTCAGGAGAGAATGGAGACTAGATAATTCTTAGAGACTATAATAAAAACTGTAGTGCCCACCTTGGCACTTCTACATGGCACTATCCATGGGCATCATGCTGACTTTCTGGGATCAGTTTCAGGGCATCCTCAAAGGGGCCAATGCATGCAAATTTTACAGAGACAGTGGAAATTGATTCTGCTTGAGCCAGTATTCTATCCCTCTGTTGGCGACAGTCACCTCACAGAAACTTAAGGAGCATCTCTTTAATTGAGGTTATTGTCTCCATAGTTAGGGATTTGGGCTGAATGAGGGCATGAGGTTCATATCATTCAGGCTATTGATACTAATTTATAGTATCTTCCTGAGATGCCTCCTACTTGGGCCCACCTCCCAGGGCCTTCCCTGGACTTGTGTCTCATAAAGAATGTTCCATTCTGTGTTTTCGAGTGTCAGCTTCCAAGGAGAGAGCCTGTTTATCCAACCATCTTGCTGTTATATTGTGTAAGTGGAATCATCTGGATATTCTATGTCTCCAGAGGCTTATATGGTAAAGATTTATTCTCCAGAGTGGCATTACTGGGATGCGGTTGAGCCTTTAGTAGGTACAGCCTCCTGGAAGGTCTTCATATCATTGGGGGCATATCCTTGAAAGGGATGTTTGTCCCAGCCCTACCTCTTGCTCTCTTCTTTCTTTCTGGGCTGTGAGATGAGAAGGTTTTGCTCTGCTACATGTTTCTGCCATAATGTGCTGACCGATCATGGACTGAACCCTCTAAATCTGGGAGCCACAATAAACCTTTCTCCTCAGAAATTGGTTATCTCAGGTGTTTGTTATAGTACTGGAAAGCTGACTAATACAGTGTATGTAATGTTGTAGGCCATTCAAGACCATTCTCCTGGATACTCAAAACCTTATTTTCTTGAAATGAGACAATGATGAGAATTTCAAACCATGACAACTCCTGGACAAACACTTTTGGGGTGGGCAGAACCCTGTGGGATCTGCTTACCTCTCAAGTCATCTATCTGTCTACTTGACAGCACTGCAAATTAATATCTAATAGCATATCAGCAGTGCATTTTCAGTGCTCAACTTGATCTTCAACCTGAAGGCTATTCTTCACACAGCCTTCTTTTCTTCTTACTTAACCCTTCTCCCTTCTTAGTCACCTGCACTTGCTTTATCAATAAGTTATCTCTGAAAACATATCCCTAATCTTCTCCTTTTCTTAAACTCCACTATCTCAGGTCATCACCATCTTGCACCTGGACCACTGCTGTGGTTACCTACTTGGTCTCCCAATTATCTCTCACTCCTGCCCACCCATCACTCAGCAGCTAAACAGGACCTCAACTTCTTATCCCAGCAGCAGCATCCAGTCCCTGAGACCTCTCTAGCCTGGCCCTGCCTAGCTCTTTCCTTGCTCTCCCATCTCTCCATCCTCTGCCTTATTTCAATTCATATACTGTGCATATGCTGTTCCTTCAAGGCCCCCAGAGATAGTCACATCCTGACCTCCATAGCCTGTGGTATGTTATGTTGCATGACTAACAGGACATTGCAGATGTCACTAATGCTATAGACCTTAAAGTAGGGAACCAGCTTCTTATCCAGATAGGCCCAAATCCTTAAACCCTTAATAGCAGACAACTTTCTCCAGGTGAAAGAGTAGTAGAAAATAGGGAGATGTGAAGATAGAGCAGAACTCAATCTCCATTGCTGATTTAAGATGGAGGAGACTACATGATGAGGAATGTAGTTATTACTTGTAGTTATTAACTATATATTTGTTTAATAGATTTCTAGACCTGAGGTTGGGACCTCAGGGGCTGAGAGAGCCTCCTGGCTGAACCAGCAAGGAAGTGGGAGCTCCATCCCACAGCCACAAGAAACTAAATTCTGCCAACATCCTGCACAAGCTTGGAAGCTAGTTCTCCCCAGAGGCTTCACATAAGAGGCCAAGCAGCTTACACCTTGATATGGGCCTTATAAAACCTAGATCAGAGCTCCCTGGATTCTGACCTATAGAACTGTGAGAAAACATATTTATGTTGTTTTGGAGCAGCCATTTGCAGTGATTTGGAAGCAATAGAAAACTAATATAGCCTGGAACGCCCCTGTTTTCCTCTATGGTCCACTCTCCTCTCAGGCTTACCCATTACTTCTTAGCACATCTGAAGTAGGCCACTGCTATTCTCTCTCAGGCCATATTCTTTTTCTCCCTAGCAGTCATCACACTTGGCCTTATGGACTTTTTGAAATATGGTTCAGTTCTCATGTATGCATGAGTTGGAGATGCAGGGTTCAAGACCTACCTCATCCTGTTTGATACTTGTATGATTTTGTGTAAGTTATGAGCCTTTTTGTGCCTTAGTTTTCTGATCTGTAAAGGGGGCATAATTATTCTAGTTCAGAGGGGTCAAATGAGTAAGTTCTATAAAGCATTTAGAATAGTACTTGACACAGCAGGCTCCAATACTTGTAGTTATTAACTACGTATTTGTTTAATAGTTTTCTAGGCCTGGGGTCAGCAAACTAACACCATTGGGTGAAATCTAGCCACCACAGGTGAAAGTTGAAATTTAAAAGATTACAACAAACAACACTTTGCCATTAACCCCCCTCAAAAATCCCCCTCACTTTGAATATATTTATCCCATCATTCTTGCCACTTTCTGAAGCAGTTCTGGAAGTCCTCTTTTATGAGTGTCT